AACCGTAGCGTAGTGTCATACACACGAGATGTCAACACTACGCTATGACACTACGTAAACTTCACAAGTTCACGATTAAGATAATAGATTCACGATTCAGAGAAACCCTTGCTGCCCTCAAGGCCCGGTGCAAAATAGCGATTCCGGCGCGAAGTCGGCGCTCGACCGGCCGAGCGAGATGCTTTAGCCGCGTGCGAATGATGTGGTATGCTATGGCTGGCTGCCCCAACATCTCGCGGATCTGGCACTCCGCGCGCTCTGTTCAAGCGAGGCGAGGCCCGTTGGCAGCGCGCCTCAGGGCGATCGCGCACGCGACATTCAGCTCCTCGAGCTACCGCGACGAAAGGCATCGGCACCTGGGTGCCAGGAAGCAGCCGGCGCATCGGAAGCGCATCCTGCGCGCGCGCTGGACGCGCCAGGATCCGGAGCAGGCGCAGGGGCACAGGCCTGGAGCGCGCGGGAGGCTTCCAAACTGGCGACCACCACGTCGCGGCAACGCAACGGGCGCCGCGAAGCTGGAGCAACGCCTCTGTTTTTTCCGGCGCAAATGGCTCCGCGCTGGGCCTCAGGCTGATGAGAGATGTACGCGTCGTTGGCGCTTGAAAGATGCCAGCGAGGCCCTTGCTGGCATGGTCTGCCAACAATATTGTGCGGTAGTCGTCGGTTGCGGTAGGATCCTCCTTGCGCTTGAAGATCTCCCGGTACCGGCCACCGCGCTAGGCCAAGATCCGGCATCGCGGACGCGCGCGTCGAGCTCGGGGAACCGACGCGGGGGGGCGGAGACTCTGGCTTGCAGACCGTCTTTCCCGACACCCCTAATCCTCCCCAGCGCGAGGTTTGCCCTGTGAGTGGCCTCGGTCGGGGCCTACATCAAGAGCGGTGGGAAAACCACGCGGGGAAGCGCGAGGAGGACTGACAGCATGGGCATCTACGACCTTCCCTCGGGAGATCTTGACGTCGCGCTGCTGCCGGACCTCTTTGACCTTCGCCAGGGTTGTGGTGGGGTTCCCGAAGGGCCCCGCGCGCACAGGCTAGGTTTGGACGCGCGCCCACCAAGAGCGCGAAGTGGAGTTTTCCCTAGGCTCTCATGTGTTCTCTGTCCTGAATCCTGAATTCTAAGAGAGGGGGCCCCATACCATGCATATCCAAACTGTTTGGGCTCCAATTAGCAGAGCGGCGCTCTGCTAACTTGCCTCAAAACGTACGCATTCGCTGCTCCTTCCCTCATTAACAGCGCTGCTGGCCTCAATGCAGGGTTCCCCAGTCTGGTCGGGCACTGGTTAGCAGAGTGCCGCTCTGCTAAGTGGCCTCAAAGCATGTGCACGTTCACTGCTCCTCCTCTCACAAGCAGAGCGCAGCTCTGCTAATTTTGCTCAGTGCATGCGCGCTCGCTGCTCGCTGTTCACCCGAACGCACCAAAACGGGCCATGAGGGACCCGAGAAACGCCCGAAAGGGCATCAGAGGCCTCCAAGACGGCTCAACAGCGCCCAAGACGTCCAGAACGGCCTCACGACAGCCCAAGAGGTCCCCACGGAAACCCCACGAACGCTTCAAGAGGACAGGGCCCCAATTTACAAAAGTCACTCATGACCCTTGTGTGTGTTTCGATGTTTGTCGCGTTCTCACGTTTCTGGCTTCCGACGCTCCAAAATGGCCCCAGAGGCCACCGAAACAGCCCCAAGGCGGCCCAAGAACCCCCGAAGCGGGCCCCATGACGGCCCAAGAAAGCCCCCCAACGGCCCAATAGGCGCCCAAGACGGACCAAGAAAGCTCCAAGACTGCCCCAAAAGAGGCCCAAGAGGGGGAACACGAACGGACAATTCTGGCCTTCTGCAACACAAAGCCCCCAGGAGTCCCCAACATACCTCTCAGAGGCCCGAAGAGGCGCCAAAGAGTCCCAGAAAGAGGCCCCCATACGGCCCTCAGGAGGCCTCATAATGCCTCCAAAATATCCCCGAGAGGACACCCACGGCACCCCAATGAACACCAAAGAGGCTTATAACCCACAACCAGGGCACGGTGGCGGGATAGGCCGAAGGCCACTGGATCCGCCGCCCCTTGTCGATTCATCGCAGGGGCGCCTGGCGTGCTAGACCCTTTCGGTTTTGGTTTTGGATCTTTTTACAAAACAGGGCCTCCGGCGCGTGCCGCTGGCCACCCGGAAAGGTGCCCAGTTGCACAACTGTTCCTCCAAGACGGCTCAAGATGGCCTCCATGATGGCCACGTTGGCCCAAGATGGCCTCCAAGATGGCCTCCAAGTCCGCCCAAGAGAGAAGGAGATGCCTCCAAATCCGCCCAAGAAACCTCCAAGACAGCCCAAGACGGCCCAAGCGGCGCCCAAGAGCCCTCCAAGACGGCCCAAGAGGCCTCCAAGAGGTCCTCCAGGAGGGCCCGAAGAGGCCACAATTATTAATGTCCCTTAGGCTTTAAAATGTTTTTCGTATTTGATTATTTTCGGCTTTCCGACGACCCAAGACGGCCCAAGAGACTCCCAAGATCGCCCCCACAGCGCCCAAGAGGCCTCCAAGATGGTCTCAGGACTGCCCAACAGGCCCTCAAAACAGCCCCAAGAGGGCACAAAGACGACCCAAGAGGCCTCCAAGACGCCCAAGATGGCCTCTAAGACGGCCCTGGAGTACCTCAAGAGGGCCCCAAGTCGGCCCAGAGAGGCCCCCCAAACGGCTTCCGACGGCGTCAGACGGGCCAGGAGCCCACCAAGATGGCCGACGTTGGCTCGAAGCTGGCCCAAGACTGCTCAAGTGGCCTCCAAGAGGGCCTCCAGGAAGGCCAGAAAATACCCAAAACATTAATGTTCCTTCGTTTTTTTTGTTTAAAGGATTTTGATATTTGCATCTTTTCGGCCTTCCGACGGCCCGAGACAACCCAAGAGCCCCCAGAGATAGCCCCCAGATCGCCAAAGAGGCCTCCAAGATGGCCCCAGAACATCCCAAGAGGCCCCCAAGACGGCCCCAAGAGGCCTCCAAGGCGGCCCAGGAGGCTTTTGAGATACCCAAGGTGGCCTCTAAGACGGCCCTGGAGCGCCCCAAGAGGGCCACAAGTCGGCGCAGAGGGGCCCCCCAAACGGCTTCCGACAGCGTCGGACGGGCCAGGAGCTAACCCAAACGGCCGAAGATGGCCCTAAGATGGCCCCAGACGGCCCAAGAGGCTCCGAAGAGGGCCTCCAGGAAGGGCCGAAAATGCCGAAATCAGTGATTTCCCATGAGCGTTTGAAGGGTTGTGGTATTTGCTTCTTTTCGGCCTTCCGACGGCCCGAATCGGCCGAAATGCAAGAGCCCCCCAAGACGCCCTCCAAGAAGGCCGGAAAGGGTCAAAATGGCGTCCACACGGCCAAAATGACCTTCAAGATGCCCACGTGTTCCCCGAAGGCTTTCCAAACCGATTCGGGGAACACATGTTCCGATAGCTTGGCACGTCTGGCCTCAACGTTCTGCCACATAGGCGCTTCCAAAAAGGCAGGGGGCGGCGGTGACTCGCCGTAGGCGTTTTCGATCCGCCGACCCCTGTGGTCTTGCCACAGGGGTGCCTGGCGTGCTGGACCCTACTGGTTTGGTGTTGGTTAATTTCCACTCGGGTTTCGGCCCGTCGGCCACCCGGAAGCTGCGCAACCCAAGTCTCCAAAAACGGCCGTCTCGCTCGGGACATCCTCAAAACATCGCGATATCGGGAATCCCAGCTCAGGCGCTGTATGATAGGCATGAGCGTCTGCCCCCAAGTTCGCCCCAGCAGCCTCCAAAACTGCCCCAGAGGCCTCCAAGAGGCCGTCAATACGGCCCAAGTGGCCTCCAAAACGGCCCCTCCAAAGGCCCGACATGGCCAAACTCAGCGATTTCCATATAGTTGTTGGAGGATTTTGGCATTGGCTTCATTTCGGCCTCCCGATGGACAGAGACAACTCAAGAGCCCCCAGAGATCGCCACCAGATCGCCAAAGAGGCCTCCAAGATGTCCCCAGAACATCCAAAAAGGCCCCCAAGACGGCCCCAAGATGGCCCAAGAAGCCTCCAAGACGCCCGAGATGGCCTCCAAGGCGGCCCTGGAGCATCCCAAGTGGACCGCAAGTCGGCCCACAGAGGCCCCCAAGACGGCTTCCGACGGCGTCACATGGGCCACGAGGCTCTCAAGACGGCCCAAGATGGCTCCAAGATGGCCCCAGACGGCCCAAGAGGCCCCCAAGAGGTCTCCCAGGCGGCCCAAAAGGCACCCAGGGGAGCCTCCAGGAAGGCCCGAAGAGGCAAACATTATTAGATTTCCTTAGGTTGTTGAAGGAGGTTGGCATTTGCTGCTTTTCGGCCTTCCGACGGTCCCAGACGGTCCGAAAGCTCCCAACGATCGCCCCAAGATCGCCCAAGAGGCCTCTAAGATGGCACCAAAACGGCCCAACAGGCCTCCAAGACGCCCGAGATGGCCTCCATAGCCTTGGATCATCCCAAGAAGGCCACAAGTCGGCCCAGAGAGGACCCCAAGATGCATATTGCACAATCTGTTTTGCACAACCTTGATTGCACAACGTATATAGCATAACATATGTTGTACCACGTAGATTGCACCACGTATATTCATCCACCTAGATGGCGCAACGCATACTGCAAGCAAACACGCTGTGTTGCGTCCGCGATGGATAACATATTCCTAAAGCAAGACGCCGTGCTCGTAACAAACACCGATGGGTAAAACAAAAGTCTCGGCTAGAAAAGCATCAAGTCTTCTTTGTGCAAGCCACAAGAGGTTCTCAGAATATTCTTTAGGGGCGTACAAGCAAGCCAGAACGCGCCACCAATGCTTCAATCTGGCTTTCGGGCCATAACGCGGCTCTCCGGCGGCGGCCGTTCGGGCGACTCCCGGACACCCCCAGAACGCCCTCAACGAGGCGCAGCCGCTGGAAGGCAACCCGAAGCTGGGAACCAGCCGGGGACCAAAGAACACGCAGAAGAACCTGGACCCCCCACCCGGGTTTGTGTCGTCCGTTTTCCTCCGAGGCCTGCGACGCCGCGCCGGCCTTCGACAGGCCGCCTGCGGCCGGGTGCGGCAGGGCGGCGGTTGCAGCCGCCTCCCGCGGCGCGCAGGCCCGGCCGCAGGCCGCCTGCTCCCTGGCGGGCAACTGCCTGCGAGCTTTTCGCGCGTCGGGGCCGAGCCCGACGGTTCCGGTGGCAACTCATGGGAGTTTCCTCCTCGTCCTCCTCGTCCTCCTCCTCCTCCTCCTCCTCCTCCTCCTCCTCCTCTTCCTCCTCCTCCTCCTTTTCCTCCTCCTCCCCCCTCCCCCTCCTCCTGCTCGTCCTCCCCCTCCTCCCCCTCCCCCTCCTCCTCCTCCTCCTCCTCCTCTTCTTCCTCCTCTTCTTCCTCCTTTTTCTCCTCGTCCTCCTGCTTCTGTTCCTCCTCCTTCTCGCCCTCCTCCGCCATCCTTCTTCGTTATGAACAGCTCCTCCCTGTCGCACCCCGAGGCCAATCGGATGGGCGGGCTGGGAATTCAATCTGTACAGCTGGCAACAAGTTCATACATGGAGGGCGGATCGCCTTCAAAATGTGGGAGCAGTAGGTTTACACTGGTCCTCCTCCTCCTCCTCCTTCTCCTCCTCCTCCTGCTCCTCCTCTTCCTCTTCCTCCTTTTCCTCCTTCTCATCCTGCTCCTCATTTTTTCTCTTCACTTGCTCCTCACAAATTGTCCGTAACCGTGTTGGTTCAAGCCATTTGGGCTCAACTCGCTGTCGACCAAACTCGGTCGTTGGCGTCGTCGGCAGCCCTTCGATTTCCTCCCTTTCGTTCGCCTCGACCCTCCTCGCCCCGCGGTCGCGATGTCCACTCCGTAATTACCGACGCGGGCGACGCAAGCGACCCCCCTCCTGCCTGGGCGGCCGCTGGGCCATCGCTGCCCGCCGTCCTGGGGGTCTCCACGACGCTGCTTGGCAACGCCCGTACATGGTCGCGGCGGATCATTGCGGGTCCGCCCTGCGCCCACCTGGCGCCCTGTGTTGCTGCGCCTGGGGCCGCGGCACGGCGCGCAGGGCTGCGGGCCCGGCGCCGCCAGCCGCGCCTTGCTGATACCCTTCGCCTGTTGGGCTGCCGTTCTGGGTTGGGCGGACGTGTGGTCAGGCGGCAGCGCTGCTCCCGCCGCCCGCCCGCTGTCGGGCCCGCCAGTGCATTCGCTGCGCTGGGAACGCAACGCTCCGCCTGAGCGGTGAGAAGGGCGGCCGGGCGCCATGGCGCCGGGCGTAACGTGCTGGGGGCTGGGGGCTCCGCTGGCGCAACGGCCGCGCAACGCGGCCGCGGAAGGCACCGCAGGGGCATGCGGCGCGCGCATCGGCCCCCGTGTTAGACGGGCTCGCCGAGCCCACGCCAATCCTCGGCCGCTTCGAGGACACGGTCGCGGGGCCCTTGCGTAGCCAGGTCAACCCCAGGCCTTCCGGCGCGCCGTTGTTTTGGATCTACAGACCCACGGCGCAAAAGGAGGAACAACAACTCAATGTGAATACTGCTCTCCTCTCTCCCCTGAAGTTGTCCAAGGCGCGGTTCCGACCTTCCCGCGCAATCTCTTGTAACGCGCAGGGTTCCAAAGCGCGAGGGCCGCGCTGCCGAACTCCGCCGGTTCGTCCGCGAGCCGCTGCTGGACTTCGCCCAGCTTGCCTATCGTGGGCACGCCGAGTGGGCGGGCGAAGGCCCACGCGGCCGCCCAGCGGGCACTCGGGCCAGCTCGCGCATCCCCGACGCGCCCGCCGGCGCCACGCCCCAAGGGCCCCCCCCCCCCCCCCCCCCGGAAACGCTGGCGGGCGGCGCGGCGGCGCGCGAAGAGCAGCTCGCCGCGGCAACGTCAGCGCCCGCTGCCGCCGCCGCCCCAGGGCGCCCCGCGCCCGGCCTCGCGCCGCCGTCAACGTTGATCACTGCCTGGCGTCCGCCCGCAGCCCCAGCTGCCTCCCGGGCGCCGCGGCGCGCGGCCTCGGCCGCTGGCGCCAGGCCAGCGCGGCCCACCTCGGAAGCATCCGCCGCAAGCGCGGCGTCGGCCCTGCCGGGCCGGGCCGCGGCCCCGCCAGGGCGGCCCCGCGGGCTGCCGCGGGGGCGATCGCCGCGGGCGCGCGCGCTAGTCTTCAGAGCATCTTTCGGGGGCAATCTCTGTTTCTCTGCTCAGGCCCAAAACTTTGATGAAGGTCTGATTCACGCATGCGTAGGAACTCTGATTCGAGTCTGGCCCTCGGCGCCAACTCCGGTCTAGGTCTGACTGGAACTCTGGTTGAACTCTGGCCCTAAGGCCCAAGTCTGATTAAGGTCTGACTGGGGACTTTAATAAAGTAACTATGATGATGGTTTGGTCTGGGCCCGCCGAAACCAATGTCGCGGCGTCGGCCCAGAACGCTGCTGGGCCGGCCCCGTGCGCATGCGTCTTCAAGAACAACAGAAGGAATGCGCCAGCCAAGCGGCAGGTCCTGGCTGGGGGCCCAGCCGCCAGCTGCCAACAAAAACTGCGAGCTGGGCCCGCCTGCGCACGCCGGCCGCCCCGCCCGCGGCAACGCTAAGGCTAAGGCCTGCGCGGGGGGCGCGGGGCAGCGCCCCCCGCCTGCGCGGCCCTGCCCAAAACTGCTCAACGGCAGCTGGGGCGGAAAACAAAAATCACCCGAGGCTCGCTCCCCAGGGCTGCCGGCTGCCGCGCCGCGACAGGATGCGCGACGCGGTGGCCGCCCCAATCCCCGCCGCCCGCCCGGGACAGGTCGGGGGCAGGGCGGCCCGAGGAGAACCGCTGCGCTTTCGCCAGGCTCGGGGGCGCGGGAGGCGCCCTGGGAGGCGCCCAGAACGAAGGCGGGCATGGGCGAAAACGAGGGCCAACACGAGAGCGAGAACGAGAGCGGGAACACAAGCGGGAAGGAGGGCGAGAACGAGGGCGGGAAAGAAGGCGGGGACGCACCGGGAACGAGGGCGAGAACGAGGGAGACAAAGACGGCGGGAACGGGGGCGGGAGCGACGGCGAGAACGAGGGCGAGAACGAGGGCGAGAACGAGGGCGGGAACGAGGCCGGGGGCGAGGGCGAGAACAAGGGCGAGAAGAAGGGCGGGAGCGACGGCGGGAGCGACGGCGGAAGCGAAAGAGAAAACGAAGGAGACAACGAAGGCAAAAACGAGGGTGCGAACGAGGGCGGGAACGAGGGCGGCAACGAGGGCGGGAACGCGGGCGGGGCCGAAGGCGGGAACGAGGGCGAGAACGAGGGCGAGCAACGCAGGCGGGGCCGAAGGCGGGAACGAGGGCGGGAGCGAAGGCGAGAACGAGGGCGGGAATGAAGGCGATAACGAGGGCGGGAACGAGGGCGGCGGGGCGGGAGCGACGGCGAGAACGAGGGCGGGAGCGAGGGCGCGAACGAAGGGGGGAGCGAAGGCGGGAATAAGGGCGGGGGGCCGCCCCTGGGCGCCACGGGAATATCCCAGGCGCCTCAGGGGGACCCACGGGGAACCTTCGGGGAAACTCTGGGGAACCTCCGGGGATCCTCCGGGAGGTCTGTTCGATGTCTGTTTTTTGTGTCTTATATCTATATATATATATATATATATATATATATATATATGTATATATATATATATACTGTTTAAGGTAAGTTTGAAGTATGTTTGAAGTCTGTTTTGGGCTAAACTCTGATTGAGGTCTGTTTAAGGTCCGTTTGAGGTCTTCTTGGGGTCTGGCCGAAACTCTGTTTTAAATCTGATTTCCCCGGGCGGCCCTTGGGGCCCCCGGGCGGCCCCGGAGCGAAGGGCAAAAACGAAAGCGAGAATGAGGGCGGGAACGAGGGCGGGAATGAGGGCGATAACGAAGGGGGCGGGAACGAGGGCGGGAACAACGGCGAAAACAGGGCGGGAGCGACGGCGGCAAGGAGGGCGGGAACGAGGGCGAAAATGAGGGCGGGAACGAGGGCGGAAACGACGGCGGGAACGAGGGCGAGAACGATGGCGAAAACGAAGGCGGGGCGGAGGGCGGGAACGAAGGCGGGAGCGAGGGCGAGAACGAGGGCGAGAACGAAGGCGAAAACGAGGGCGGGAACGAGGGCGGGACCGAGGGCGACAACGAGGGCGGGAACGAGGGCGGGGGCGACGGCGGGAGCGACGGCGGGGGCGATGGCGAAAACGAGGGCGGGAACGAAGGTTCGAACAGGGCGGGAACGACGGTGACAGCAAGGATGGGATCGAAAGGCGATGGCGAGAGAAGGGGCTGGAGTGAAAATGGCCTCGGGCGGGGGCGAAGGCGGGCGCGGGGGCGAGGGCGGAGACGAGGTCGGGCGCGGGGCCGCGGAGCGAGGGCGAGGAAGAGGGCGGGACACGGAGGCCGAGGAGCGAGGACTGACGCTCGATGCGGAGGAGGGGGAGGGGGAGGATGAGGAGGATGAGGAGGATCAAGGGGCCCCAGGACACACAAATAAATACACACAAATAAAAGAATTCCCCATATTTCCACATATTTTCTGGGTTTTTGTCTTCCCGCCCAATTCCCATATTTCCCATATTTTCTGCGGGATCGACGATTAATTGTGTCTGTGTGTTTTTTCTCCTCCTGAGAGGAGGAGGAGCAAAAAGACGAACGGAAGAATGGGGGCCGAAGGCAGAGGAGGGACAGCACACGGAGTGCGACGGCGACCGAGGAGGGAGGAAACGGGATAGCGAGGCCAAGGGGGGAGGAAGAGGAAGAGGAGGGAAGGGGAAGAGGGAGGAAACAAACTGACGAGGAGAGGGGGCGGAGGGGGGAAGAGGGGCGCGAACGGGGGAGGAGGGAAAGGGAGGGAGAAGGAAGCGGGGGAAGGAGGGAGGGGATAGACGAGGTAGGAACGAGAGCGAGGGGGAGGGAGGATGGGCAAAGCGAGAGGACAAGCGCACTTGCGCAGCGCGCTCCGCGCCCTCCGCCCGGGACTGCTGCCAGAAATCCGATGGTAACCCCGCGAAGCAATTAAGGAACCCCCCGGGGTTATCGTTAGCACCGCGCCGTAATTAAATAATTATTTGGGGTGGTTTTAGCCGAGCGTTATCTTTAGCACCGCGCAAAACAAAAATAAATTAAATAATTCCAGCGCCATGGCCCTAAGGATTCCTAAGGATTCCTAAGGATGCCTAAGGAAGGTCTGAGGATTCCTAAGGAAGGTCGGTGTACACCGAAAAGCAGCAGCACCCCTCTCAGACAATCCTGGAAGAGCC